ACAGAGACAGAGAGAGAGAGAGAGAGAGAGAGAGAGAGAGAGAGAGAGAGAGAGAGAGAGAGAGAGAGAGAGAGACGGGCCTTTTGGTCCATCGACACGCTGTTAGAAGCCACTTTGAAAAAGAAGCCTAACTTCGTTAATGATGCAAATTTTTCTGCTCTGCTTTATTGACCTGAAACCTAAAAAAGTTTTGTTTTGTTTTGATTTATTTTTAGGAATTGTTTGTTTGTTTTCTCTGTTTGTTGGTTGGTTGGTTGGTTTGTTGTTGGTACGTTTGGGTTTTTGTTTTATTGGTTGTTTTGTTGTTGTTGGGTTGTTGTTGGTTGTTGTTGTTGTTGTTGTTTTTTGGGGGGGGCAAATAATAATACTATAGAGTGGTTCAAAATTATTGTCCTTTCTCAGTTAAAGCGAAAGTTTTACAAGCTTTTTTGTTTAGTTTTTCTGAAGAAACTAACAATGAGTACCACATTAACACATCATGTTCATAACTTACCAATATTCAGCATCAAACCATGACACGGGATTTTTAAAAGAATGCTTTACAAACCCCAAGTGTCCCATTCGTATTCCTTTTCTCTCCTACGATCTGGTTGGTATCGTGAGCTTAACTGTATATTCTACCAAGACAATTTTCTTAAAAAAACGTTATCCTTTAATTTGATGTAAATTATGTAGTCTACTTGTATGTAGTGTTTAGTTCTACGGTTGCGTGGTGGAATCAGGCTCTCGTCAAAATAATCAAAATGAAGAAACTTGCATTTTTCAGCAGGTTTGTGAATTTTTATCAAATTTTTGTTTATCAAAACCGTTCATGTCCATTAAAGAACGCTTTTCTGTGTGGATTTTTCTGAAAAACGTTGATTAAAGGTACAATAAATGTAAATTTTCAGTTGCCACGGACTCTTAAGCTAAGGAAATAACTAATCTTCGGCGGCCATTTTCTCACTAATTTTACCTCAGAAAACATGTTACCCACACCTCCTTCGTTTGCAAATATCTCGACTTGTATTCAAGATAAATGAATATTTTTTTTATCCAAATAAAGACAAGTGAACAAGCTTTAAGATGATACCAATAACTCTACATTCCCAAAAATTGACGAGAGCCTGACTCCAGCATGCTGCCTCACATATGGTTATATAAACAACGAATATTAGAGGTGGTGCAAGAGAGTAACAGACACGAAAAAGAAGGAGAAAAAATCTGGACAACAGATTATGTTTGATAGGAAAGAAGGAGCAAACCCCACCAGAGCACCCGCCAACCACACGCTGTATGTAGTGACAATGAACAACTAACGAATTCGCTTTGTCTTAAAATGACGAACTGGGTGCCATCTTTTACTTACTCATATTCCCTACAATTGGGAGTTAATGTCACAGCTATCACAGCTGTTGAAACGTCTTCCCCCTGAGATCAATATTATAGCATTAAATCGCATGTTCCGTAGAATTTCATGTCACTTTGTATTAACTCCAGTTTTTTGCGACTTTAATTCTGTGCTTTGAAAGTAATTTAGATTTTTTTATTAAGCAGAAAAAAAATGGATATTGTACAAGATAACAGTACGTTCGTGGAATACGAAATTAATCTTTCTCAATGTTAAAAATGAAAGGGCAGTTATATAGTACAAGTATGTTGGGCAATAATTTATTTTTGTTTTGTTTTGTTCTGTTCCCCTCCAAAATCCCCACCACCATCAACACTGCCCCTGCCCCTACCCCACACACACTAACATCACAACTACCACCGTGTTCTCACGAACCACCACCAAACCATCACCACCACCACCACGATAAACAACGCCCTTCACGATAAAACGCACGCACGTGCGCTCTCACACACTCACACACACACACACACACACACACACACACACACATATACACACACACACATTCTCTCCCCCGCCCTCTCTCTCTCTATCTCGCTCTCTCTCTCTCTCTCTCTCTCTCTCTCTCTCTCTCTCTCTCTCTCTCACTCTCTCTCTGTCTATCTATCTACCCCTGTATCTATCTATCTATCTATCTATCTATCTATCTATCTATCTATCTATCTATCTATCTATCTATCTATCTATCTATCTATCTCTCTCTCGCACTCTCTCTCTCTCTCACACACACACACACACACACACACACACACACACACACACACACACACACACACACACACACACACACACACATACAAACACACATACACAAACACAGGTATTCGCCAACTACGTATCCTACGTCCTGGCCGCCTACGTTTCCTTCGAGCGATGTCTCTGCGTCAGCATACCCTTCAAGGTCAAATCCATTGTGACCCCAAAACTGACCTTCATCATGATGGTTGTCATCTCCATTCTGACCTTAGCCTCGCTCGGAATCATCTACTTCATCTACGACATCGAGTGGCAGTACAGCACAGAGTTCAACACCACGATCGCCGTGTACAAATACAACGACTTCTACAAAGAACACGGAGACATTGTCATCGAGTACTTCAACCTTATCGGCATCATCAACCCAATCATCTGCTTCCTCGTCATCGTCACCTGCACGGGCATCATCGTCTACCAGCTTCAGAAGATGTCCCGCTTTCGCATTCAGTCCCAGCACAAATCGGCGACGGGCGAGGTCCAGGGGGATATGACCAGTCGTGACCGTCAGGTGGTCAAGATGTTGCTGGTGGTGATCGTGGTGTATATCGTGGCGTTGATGCCTCGCTTCGCCCACTACATCGGCAAGATGATGGAGCCCGAGTTTTACTATCTCAAGAAGTACCACAACATGTTTAATGTGAGCGCCTACACAGTCCTGCTCTTCGACTACATCAACGCCTCTGTCAATCTCTTCATCTACCTCTCCATGAGCTCCAATTTCCGCGCCACTTTCTACACTCTTTTCCCGAGGTGCAAGAAACAAGACGCATAAACTAATAAACTTATTCCTTTTGCCTGTTGTTAGAGGTTTTGATGTTGTTGTTGAAGACGATGTTGTTAAAGTTCTTGTTGAAGATGTTGTTGTTGTTGTTGTTGTTGTTGTTGTTGTTGTTGTTGTTGTTGTTGTTGTTGTTTTGTTTATCTTGTAAAGTGGAAAATAATAAATGATGACCCTTTACAGATTTGTTACAGTAGGGTTTTTTATAGTCCCTTAACCACAAAGTCGTACTTTATCCTCCCCAGTCTCTATCTAGCTATGCTTGTGGTAAGAAATCATCTATGCTTAACTTCAGACCAACTGCTCGCGGAAAGATGTCTGTGAATGTTTTTGGTGTTTTTGCTGCTTGGAGGGGGGTGTTGTTGTTTTTTTCTGTTTATTTATTTGTTTTATTTTAAGAGCGAGTTTAACTTTTTTTGAAAAGGGGGCCGGGGAGATGCTGGAATTTTGTTTGTTTGTTGTTGTTTTTTTTTTTTATTTGTCTGTTTTGTTCTGTTTTTAATTGTTTTAACCTAATTCATTTTACGAGAAGGGACTTGTTGTTTTATACTTGTTTGTTTATTTGTTTGTTTTGGTTGGTTGTTTGTTTTCGTGTGAGTTTATAACTATTTTAAGGAGAGGGACTGCTTGATGCAGGGTCCGGAGATTTACCATCTCAAGAAGTATCTCAAAAATATTACTATGTTTAACGTGAGCGCCTACACAGTCCTGCTCTTCGACTACATCAACGCCTCTGTCAATCTCTTCATCTACCTCACCAAGAGCTCCAATTTTCGCTCCACTTTCTACACACTTTTCCCAAGGTGCCAGAAACAAGACACATAAACTAAACGATTTTGCTGTTGTTCGGGTTCTTGATGTTGTTGTTGATGATGATATTGTTGTTGTTGTTGTTGTTGTTGTTGTTGTTGTTGTTGTTGTTGTTGTTGTTGTTGAAGCTGTCGTTGTTGTTGTTATTGTTATTGTTGTTTTGTTTATCTCGGGAAATTGCAAATAAAATAATAAAAACCCTGTTCATATTTGTCACAATAAGTTGTGGTTTGTTCACTTATTTCTCCCCAGGTTCTAGCTATTCCATTGTTAAAGAACCATTATCATTATCATTGTCTTTCTCACCCTAGATCAGGATACAGCCACGAACAAACACTCTCCGCCTTTCCCTGGCCTGAGCTAGCCTCTTGATGTTATAATGGTAAGCAATAATCCATGCTTAACTTCAGACCAACTGCTCGCAGAAAGATATATGTGAATGTTTTTGGTTGTTTTGCTGCTTAGGGGCGGGAAGTACTGTTGTTTTGATTTGGTATGTTTGTTTGCTTGTTTTGTTTTTGTGTGTTTAACTATGTTTTTTATAAAAATGGTCACCTACCTCACCATGAGCTCCAATTTCCGCTCCACTTTCTACACACTTTTCCCAATGTGTAAGAAACAAGACATATTTATTATAACGCTTTTGCAGTTGTTACCGTTGTTGATGTTGTTGTTGATGTCGTTGTTGTTGGTGATTTTATTGCGCTTGCGATTAATGTTGGGGTTGTTGTTGATGATGTTGATGAATCTGTTGTTTTTTATGCTTTTGTTATTGTTGCTGTTGTTGTTATTATTGTTGTTATAGATGTTGTAGTTGTTGTTGTTGTTATAGTTGTTGTTGTTGTTGTTGCTGTTGCTGTTGCTGTTGTTACAGTTGTTGCTGTTGCTGTTAGCATTTTGTTGATCTTGGAAAAAAGCAAATAAAGGAATATCTTGTCCATTTGTATTACGCAGTGTTCTTTTAATGTACATGAAAGTATCACAATGGTGTCGAGTTTGTATTGGTGTTTGTGTGGCTTGAAGGTGGAGGTGGGGAATGTTAGGCTTCTTTAAACGGGATTTGGTGTGGGTTTTATTTCATTTCTTCTCTTATTGTTTTTTGTTTTATATTAAAAGAATATTTCAAGGGGATGGGTGCTTGAGGTTGTAATCTACTATACTATAATTGTGAATTATATTATCAAATCCTGAATCCCCCTGTCGGAAGTGGGGTGCGGTTTGAGAAAGAAAGTAAGCACTGCCCATCAGCAAGATACATTTCAGATACTCCTTTTAATGTACCATAATATAAAACCTTTTCACCTTCCCTTTCGCTTTCTTTTTGTTTTCTATTCGTATCTTTCGGCTAAAAAATCTTTTTTAAAAGGTTGTTTCAGAATGCTCTCAGGTCTGCTGGGGGTAATACATAGTATAGATTGTGAAACATGTAGAGCTTGCTGTTGAGCGGGGATTTGCGTTATACAAATGCTATCTATCTATCTATCTATCTATCTATCTATCTATCTATCTATCTATCTATCTATCTATCTATCTATCTATCTATCTATCTATCTATCTATCTATCTATCTATCTGTTATTATTATTATTATTATTATTATTATTATTATTATTATTATTATTATTATTATTATTATTATTATTATCAATAGTACTTTTTTTTATTGTTGCTGTTGTTGTTGTTCGAGTGTCCTCTTCGACACAAATTAGAAAGTTCGATCTCTTAAGGTAAGTTTTGGCAAACGAGAGCCCGCAGTCCAGATCTGGCCCGTGGACAGCTTCAGTCTGGCCCGCAAGTAAACGAATTGGTTAATAATGAATGCAGCCCGCGGTGAATTGATACTCGATTGATAAAAGCAAAATTGTTTGTCTTGAAAGTCAAGACCAATAGATTCCGACCCCGTGAGAAGCAATAGACCTTATATTGTTCTATCTCATGAAATGCGCTTCAGTAACACGATATGACATAGTGTCAGTTTTAGTCTCAATAAATTTGAGATTCCAAACAATTTTTCTCCTTCTTTGGCCGGCGAGGTATATGTGTAGCGAATTGTTTAATTACTCCAGCACCACCACTTGGACACTTTGGTTTATGCCTGTTTTTGTTTTTGTTTTTGTTTTGTTTTTGTTGTTTGTTTTTTGTGTTTTTTTTTGGGGGGGGGGTTCTTGTTCTTGTTTGTTTGTTTGTTGGTTGTTGGGTTTTTGTTAGTGTGATGTACTACTTCGCTTATATCTAGTAAACCGGCCCACTCAGAGGGAAATACTACAGCGGAGACACTCGACATTCGAAATGTTGAATATCTTGAAAACACAATTTGCCTCTCACTTACGGAAGACGTTTTTAAAGGTGAAACATTTGGTTGTATTTGTTTATCACAATAATGATCTCTAAGATCATTTGATATATCGGGATTCGTCTCAGCTAACACACACAAAACGTTAACGGCTGAGCAAGTTCACGGTCACGTTTTTGAAGCGGGTTTCAAACCCTGGAGTACAGTTTTTCAATCTTATAGGAAAGTAAAAAAAAACAACAACAACTGAATTATGTCACCAATGAAAGAAATTTGCTTTAAACAAGAAAAGGGAGTAATTATCAAAATTGTATTCCTAAAATTATTGACTTGGGATGTTTGCAAAGGGTTTTTTTTTCCCTTGGTAACAATTTTTCGGGTTTTCTAATTGAATATTTTTTTTATCATTATTTTTAAAAAATATATATATATTTATTATTTTTAGTCTTCAGTTGTTAAATTGTAAAAACTGCATAACATACTGTATTTCTAAAAATGACGACAGAACAGCCTAAGTACTGGATAGGTTTCTTTCAAAGGTAAGTAGGTAGATATTCAATTCAACGTTTCAAGCCAAGGACCCATAACACACTAGACAACTAACGAAACACTGTCCCCAGATATTATTTGCGCACTAGATGGGGAGTCAAAGTTTACTTTGCACTATGCTGAACATCCATAGATGCGTCTTGAAGGATCGTCTTCATACCGACTGTGGTTGTTGATGACAGTACCAGGATGAACACAGAGCCATTCCCTGATTTCTCTCACGGGCAGGCCGGAATCAGATAAAGACTTTATGCCCGCCCTGTGTACCGGTCTGTGTCCGTCCTTGTTCCGGTCACGTGGTAGGGCCACTGACAAATGTCGCTCCCCTTGTCAACAACCAGTCGTGGTCGGACTGGGCAACTGGGTGATCTCAGCTGATTACTTTCTGTCTTTTGTTTCCTTTGATAATGCTTTCTTATTTTCTTTCTTTCTTTTTTTTTTCTCTCTTTCATTTTTCTTCCTTTCTTTCGTCTTTGATTTCTTACTGTTATCTTTCTTTTTCCATCGCTTTCTTTCATTTTTTTTGTATTGCTTATTTTTTCTTCTTTTCTTTTTCTTCCTTTCTTTTGCCTCTGCTTCGTTACCTTTGTCTTTCTTTCTTCATCTCTTTCTTTCACGCTTTCTTTTGGTATTGCTTTCTTCCTTTGTTTTTGCTCTTTCTTTATTGTCTTCCATTTTTCTTTCTTTTTTTCTTTCATTTTCTCGACTTTGCTTTCGTTCTTCCTCTTGGAATTGTTTTCTTGCTTTCTTTTTTTTTTCTTCTTTTTTTTCATACTGGAACTTTTGCTTCACGAAACCCAAACAGATCGTATTGAAAAAAAAAATACCTTCTCTTACACTGTCTGCTTCTGCTGCTTTTCCCCAGCTCTAAACAGCTGTTATCTTATCGACATGCTTTTCTTGACTTCGAAATAGTAGAAAGGCCAGAGTCATCAGCACAGCCGAATCAGAGAATAAGAAAAAGAGACATGACTGGCGTTGAAGGAAAAGGAAAGGGTGAGGAAGAGGGGGAAGGGGAGGGGGGTGAAGAGGTATGTTTAAGAGTTTCCCTCGAAGGCAACAGAGACGCGAAGAGCTGACAAAAATTTGTATACCCACAAATCCTCATATCCCAACCCCGGCCGGCATTTCCAAAATGCTCATCTCCATTTCTATCCATAGACCCGAATTCTGATAATAGAAGGTGCACTGTCATGGCCACAACTCTTTGATCTCTATTTTAAATAAAAGACTTCACTGCGCATTTTGCACTAATGCGCGCCAATAGCGCTCAGATGAAAGGCGAAATATCAGTTTCACTGTTGTCGATTGCGCACGCAACTTTTCTCTCCTCGCCCTTCGTT